AACCGATTATTTTTGAGAGACTGCACTTTACACATATATCAATCTTTAAGATGTACATGTGTATATGTACTTGAAAGTCATTTCTAAGTTCATTTGTAATACTGGATGTTATATAATGCATTCAAACAGAAAACTTAGTTTACACTCGTGTAGAAGATGAAGTAATGCGACGTATACTTGTGTTTTCGTGTGAGGTGAGGGGGTGTATGTGTGTTTGTATGTAGATGAGCAATAACAGACCACTTAATGTGTGTTTTGTCGGGGATGTCCCACTCCATTGCGACTTTACCTGCTTTGCAAACAACCAAAAAATTAATTAGATGCCAGCTACAGTTAAAAGTGTTTTTATAATATGCAAATTTCTGTGTACTGCCAAGCATTTAAAAAATATATTGCATGTAATATTATATAAATATTGTTTCTATGTACGAACTCGCTATAACATACGGAACCCAGAACACGTTTCACTGAGATTTGATCTTTGCACACATATATCTAGGCATGACTCAGCTTCCTTTATGTTCGATTCACAAAATTTCCTGCAGGAAAAAAACTATAGATTTCTAACTACATCACGTTGCGAGCTAAGCAGGGACATCCGAAATAAAATCTCAAACTATAAGACTAGTTTCTCAAATTCTAAGTACCACGATAGATATCTAATATATTTATTTATTGTGCCTAGCTGTCAGTGAGTTGATGGATACCATGATATGTTTTTTTTTATCACCCCGTCCCTGTTACTTTTTTCAATTCGGAGAAATTTTCATCAAAATTTATCTTAATGTGATATATTTACTAACAATTATTGAAAAATAAACAAAATCAGCTGACTATTCTGAGATAGACAGGTTCAAAAAAATATACATGTATTATAATTAGCACATTCGGAACATTGTTGATAGATACTATATCAATACATTGATTCATGTGTATATTTTCCTTTTTTAAGACCTTGCAATTTATGTTCATTCTTTTTATTTCTTTTTCAATACTTAATTCCATGTAGTGATAGATTTTTGAGTTTAGATTCTTTTGATATTCTTAAATTATCCTGATGCATGTATTTTTTGGATTAGTGAATTGGAATGGAAAACTTAAACCTTAGTTATTTTAGAAACAGAAAAAAAGAGTAAGCAAAAATTCAATCTGACACTGTATTATCTAATTATTTCGACGCTATAATTAATGATTAACTTATCAAAATGTAATTATTGTCAGCACGCCCCAAAAGGCCTCTGGCTTTATTCAGTTTGACCATGAATATAATAAGTATCACATTGTTGTGTGACCTTAAGAAATACGCGTTGATGATGCGTAAAATCGGTCTAAGTGCCCCCATATAATATATATAAATTAAATTTAGATACCCCTTCCGTTATATTTCGTAAGAATGAAACTTAAAGGAAATCTAATGGGTTATTTGATATATTTCAGCATGCAATTTTATTTCAAAATGTTCTAGTAATTTACCAATTTACGCTTAACCCCGCCTATTGATTTTTTTTAAACGTGACACCATTTGTTTATTTTATTTGACAGATAGCGGGTACATTCTACTTTTTTTACTACCTGGAAGTATTTAAAGAACGAGGTGAATTCCACAATTGTCTCATACACGTCGCCGTATTACTATATTTCTATTCAGATTTAAATCTCTCTGAGCTGCTTTTTTAATTTAATGAAAAACTCCAAAAGAATAATAAAATCAGCTGATTCTAATAACTAAACAGACAGAACGAAATTCCTCTCTTTTGATCCTCTTTTTTCCCTAAATATTGTCACGTGACAAAAGTTAAGGGGAAATCCCAAGTGTGGTATAAATAATACGCGCAAGAGCACTCTCCAACTCAGTTAGAACAGCGTCTGTGAGCGTTGCAGTCGTAGTTGCAAGCATACATGACAGTGCAGCGTCTTCGAGGCAACGAAATCCAAGGTGAGATTTTCATGCAGATTTTATTTAAAAGGTTTTGAAAATATTTGCATTAACCTGGTTCGTAAATTATGCAAAACATTTGGCGTTTATCATTTAAATATCGAAGTTTCGCAGGTTTGAAGTCGTATCCAGGTTAATTTGTTAAAAAAAGTAAAGAATATTGACTTATCGTTGCAGGTTCTTGTTATAAAAACTAAAAATATCTGGATTGAGATGTATTTTTAGATTGCATTTAGTTACAATACATTACTCGGGTATTTAAATTTCTATTCTGTTAAAAGCCGTAATCTACAAATGTATCATTGAGGGACCTTCTTTTGCTCTTCATCTGTGTTTTACCCCAATATAATCAAATGCTTTTGTACTCTTTTTTACATTTACATTTTTGTTTCATCTATATATTCTTTTCTTTCTTGTTTAGAGTCAGTGCCTTGAGGGACATTTAAGATAACGTAAAGAAAATACAAAGAGCTTGTTTTAAAAAAGGTAATATCATTTTGTTCATTTTTTTGAAATAGCCTCTCCTATTTTGTACATACAAAGTGTATATAACTGTCGGTGATGAGGCTTTCTCATTGGACCCAGTATTTTTATCTTTTGAAAACACTCAGCGCGAGCCTGTATGAATTTGAGGATCGACAGATATAATTTCAGCCCCACTTAAACTGAACATCATTGACAGGAAAACCTATCTCTCTCCGAGATCCGGATTCATTAATTATTTTAAGTGTTCTGTGCATTTTGGTAATATGTGATGTTTTCTAGCTCTTCACAAAAATGTAACTTATTATAATTTTTTTAAATGTTCAAAGTAAAACGATTTATCTAAAATGTACCGAAGCCTGTAGCTAAAATTTTGCAGCAGATGTAGCTAGTTTACACTACTCTCTCTCTCTCTCTCTCTCTCTCTCTCAGTGCTTTGATGAATAGCGAAAAAGATATATAGAAAAGTATATATACTTTTTTTAAATTGGCTTTTCCTTCTCTTTCAGATGAATAGTGTAAAGGACCAGACACCAGATTTGGTACAAATCTTACAATATCTTCGCGACCCACTCACAGAGTTCTCCGAAGTATCACCTACGTCATTACCATGTATAGGTATGTTTAATTATAGATCATGTCACGATATTATAATCTTGAAGCTTGTTTGAACACTAAATAAACTTGATCACTGAACGTTAACTCCATATTTCATCCATAACTTTTTGATTTTTTGAAGCCGATTCCCAGACATCACCACTTAGATATGAACAAGATCATTACGGATGTATCCCAGAATACACCACGTTACCCAGTACTCCATTTGGTGAGTTTGAATCAATGCATCCTTAAAAGTCGAATTAAATAATAAATTTTTATGTTACATGTATATAATGTTCTTAATTTTTTAAGCAGATCCAGCATATCTCCCAGAAACGGGTTCTGATGGAAGTGAGGTTGAAGATGATTCATCAGGTAGACAACTTGTTCTTTAAATATCACTTCTGGATTTTTTTTAATTATAGAAATATAGAAATTAATATAGGCTAATGAAATTTTGCCTATAAGGTAGAATGTTCAATACAATATCAAAATAACTAATCACTTTACAAATTTTAATATCAGTATTTTTTTTTCAAAGTGATTCTTGACTACAGTCTTACGGAATGCGCGAGCTGCGGCCATATCTTCTGTCATAACTGTTCCTACTGCCAGGGATGTTGTTCGTGCTATAACAACAGCAATGCCCACCTCAACCAGTACAAAGATCCTTCTCACAGTCCTGTTGTCGAGGAGGACTCAAATGACTCTATTGAAAAAATCCCAAGTCTCCCCAGCATAGACATTTTTCGTGATTTAGAGCATCCATATCCTTCTCCGACCCATAACGAGACTGGAAAACGAAAACGAGGTTAGATATATTGAATTATTTATATACACAATGCATATTATGCCTTGTTCAATGAAGAAATGCTTTTTCTTTTTTAAACTTATTATATGCTTTTATATGAAACAGGTGCGAAAAACATACTTCTGTGGAAATTTCTTCTGGCTGAACTGAGTGCACCAAACGCAGGTTATATAAAATGGGTGAACAAGGTTGAGGGAACATTCAGATTCATGGACACTGTTGAAGTGAGCAGGCGATGGGGGCAGAAAAAACAGAAAACCGATATGAACTTCGAAAAACTAAGTCGAGGAATTCGGTAAGAATCAAAGTTTATCAATATTTATGTTTATTATTTTGCTTTATTTTATTTTTACATTCTTTTTTAGAAGTCACATCTATTTTGTTCTTTTTACAGACACTACTACAAGAACAAGTTCATGACTCGTATTGATGGTGTTCGTCTGGTGTACAAGTTCAACTGGTCCAAGATACCCAAGGAATGGAGACCGTGTGGTGTGTTTGGACAACCCTAAAATTGAATAAAAATGGCTGACCATTCCAAATCCGAGCCGGGATATGTGCATAAAATCCAAACAGTCATGGCCTTATTTTTTTAAATTGTCTCGTGTTTGCAGCAGTGTGGAGGACAATAAATCTCAACTGTCCCGCGGACAACCTATGTCGCTATGATGTGTTCAGACTTTCTAAAAGATTTATATAGAAAGCTCAATATTTCATGTGTTCGAAAAGTTCTTTTAAGATTGTTATGAAATATTATTATATATATTTTTTACATGTATATATTGATCTATTATCTGTATATAAATCACAAGTATGCATTGTTGTATGATGCTGTTGATTAATAAAATAATTTAGAGATTAATGATGTTTAAAAATATAGTTTGTTGTGCTTTGAAGCAAAAAATCCTTTCATTGGGCTGAGTCCCCCCCCTCTCTCTCTCTCTACACGTGTATATATATATATATATATATATGACTTAAAGGTCACATTATGCCAAACGAAGTGGAGGCTGAACTTTTAATTTTCATGCAATTGAGAAATATTTCTGTTTAGTTCTCTCTCTGTCTCTCTCTCTCTCTCTGTCTGTCTGTCTCTCTCTCTCTCTGTGAAATGGGAGTGCAATACACGGACACATATATTGAAGAAAAAAATCTTCCAGAAAACTTTCCAAAGAAAAAAACCCATGACAAGAAGGAACATTTTTGGAATATTCTTTATTTGGTCAAAGAGTTTGTTGGCTGTGCTGTAATGGCTTCTAAATATAATTGCTAGCAAGGGAATCATCGCGCCATATGCCTGAGTGCAATCTCTTCCCGTTCTTGTTGTTTCCGGTTCCGCGTTGTGATACGGACAAGAGGAAAATCTCTATGGTACCAGCTTGGCAGAGCTCAATCTCCACTTGACTGGTTGTTTGAATTAATTTCTCTGAAAACCTAAATATAAAGTGAAATAAACATCATGGCATTTTTTTTCTATTTATTTCAGTTGAAAAATGTATTCACAAAAAAGTTAACTTGCTGAATGAAATGAAATCAAAATGAGAGAATAAGATATGATTTTTCACTTTTTGGGGGGATGGAAATTTTGAAATCTGTATATTATTACTTTAAAATGTTAAATCCTTCATGTATATATTACTCAGTGTATGTTTCGTCTAAAAAAATATGTCTCATTAGGGTTAAAGATATTAAAGTCATATATGTTTAAGGGAGAATTGGGTTGTACATGTAATTATCCAAGTAACATCCAGAGGAAAGCTCTGCTTGAAAAGATTGAAGATTTGAAGAGTATGGTTTATAACTGCTATTTTTAGATTTTTTAAAATTACACTAACACGATACATGGCTAAAATGGAAAGACTAGATAGCCTTTAGGTTTATTATTATTTGAACATATTAAAATAGAGTAATTTATCATCTTTTTTATAATGACATTATAAGCAAATATGACCTTTCAATGGGTCGTCGTTAGACAGACGTGTGTTATATATCAATTGTTAGGCCTTTGTTTTTACACTACATTTGACTACGGAATATTCCATCTCCCCGGTCAATGCATGTATATAGGGTATCCTTAGGCGTGACCAGTCGACAGGGGATGTTTACTCCTCCTAGTCTTCTGATCCCACCTCTTAAAATTAATTCCGTAGATACGTATTTCATGCCCTGTACAGGTTCGTATTGTTTGTAGATTGTTTATAGTTTTACATGTATTACTCTTCATTTCTTCACCTTTCTTCATTAATACAACATATACTATGTCAGAAATAAAGTATTATTGACTATATAGAAAAAAGAATAACACGTATATATTATTCATATTTTTAAAATATGTATTACTTAAACGGCTCGTATCCAATGCAAGTATTAACTAATTTTCATCAACATATCGCCATATCAATAGGATCAATAAAATACATAAACTTATAAGGTTTTCTTAAGCATTTCCCTAAATTTCATCGCTATCTCAATAAAAAACTTTAAAAATAGAAACATCCTTTTAGATATTGGATTCTAAATTATAATATATTATTGAACATTTAGATATAAAGGAATAAAATATGATAACTTCATTTATATTTCATAGGAATAAATGTAAATTTATAATGGTTGCAAGTGATTTAATAACGTGGAGAAACCCAAAGCCAAGCAAAAGACGGAAAATATGAAATCAGGTACCACTCTTCAATAGAATGGTGCATATAAACATGCTTCATTATAATTATATTAAGCATCATAAATTAGAAACATATACCGGATGTGATACATTACCGTAAGGACATGCCTGCTAGAGGGTTCCTGTAGAATAAATGTATGTATATATGTACGTAGAAAATCTATTTCAGCATTGATGTGATATTTATGACATTTTATTCTTTTTATAAAAATTGGATTATGTAAAAATCTGAATATTATGAATTTTCAACCTTTTCCCGACAGATATTTGTTACATACTGTAGACGTACTTTTTTCCACGGGGTCATAATTCCGCGGAATCTCAATTTCTGTTTAATCCGCAGGTAGAAAATTACGCGGATTTCTTAGACTGTCACTATATTCCTTACATTTATATTAAGTACGCTTGAACAAATTTCCGCGGAAAGTTTGTGACCGCGTACATAGCGTAAATTATACCGCGCGGAAAAAAAGTACTTCTACAGTTTATGGAAGTCTCAGACAAATTAGAATAGTGTATTCTTGAAATGTAATCAAAGATTTAATTATATATCTATGAAATAAAATGGTACAGAACAATTGATTTTTTTATCGTATTAAAAAGTTGTTACAAAACTTTGAATGTATTTACTAAAAGAATTTTTTTTTTACTTTTTACTTTAATCCTAGAGAAACATATATGGGCTTAAGCTTATGGATAATGTCCAAAAAAAAAAAACATGAACATTTTTACTTTATAGTAACTTAAATATTTGATTGTGACAGTTGCAATAAAAGTTACCTCAAAATGCGAGCATATTTACTGCTTTATTTTTGTTTGCATGATTAAAAAAAAGTTTTGTTGAAATACTGTACATAAGCAACACCTAATATCACCCAACTATATAATTACCGGTAAGTAAAAATGAATTTATAATAATCATCTTAAAAACAAAGTAAAAAAGAATTCATATCAAAACAATGTACAACTTCCTAATACATGCACATATGTATAAATTTATCACCAATTTAAATATTTATAAATTATTGATAATAAACGACAATTTAATTATTGTACAAATTTGAATTTAGATTCACTTTGCACAGTTTAACAATATACCTACTATATATTACTCAAATTTTATTTTCTTCAATAGCAAGATTGATTTATAAAAGTAAAAAAAGAGATTTATGCATAAATAAGGAAACTTTACAAAACAAAATTAATACAAAAGAAAATACAATAATAATTAAAAATAATGTATGAATATTTATTATTGTGTAAATATTAAGTAGATATAGTAAACGTAGTTTGTGAACTAAAGATTTCAAGAAATAATGCAGTTGCAACGCCTATTAAAATCAATGCATGTCGCTAAAGATCTTAACAAAAATCAAATGTTTTCTTAAAGGAAAATTAAACAACATATGCAAAGAGACTCATATTGTTCAATGAAATATAGGGATAAGATAATTTGATGTGGAGTTTTCATAAAACAGAAGCATAAACTTTACAACTTTGGACGGATGAGGAAGTTCAAAAGTATAGCAAGACAGATCAATTGATTAATTTTTCTGGTATTCATTATTAAGAGCTCAAGAAAAAGTGTCAAAACAATAACGGCTTTTTATGTTGTTGTTTTTTTTTAAAGAAAACATTTATAACACTGTGAGGGCGATGATGGAAATTTGAAAATTCAAATTATCCAATCACTGACATTGGCCAATCAGATAGAGAGAACAAGGAAGATTTTGGCCGACATATCACATGTACCTTTGATAAGCTGAATCTGAAATTTACCTGGGTATAATATTTTCATCGTTAAGTTCTATTCTTACCCTAAGCCGACGGAATATTATTTCCCTCTTCCTTCTAAGTTTGTTGTATTACTTTGATTATTTTGACATAATTATCACTATATGATAGTCATATTTTTGCACAACAATGACCTAAACAATAACTTACAGAGATGCAATCCCAGATTATCTCTCTGTAATACAATACCTATGTTAGCAACATAAACTTTCAAAATACTCACTCACAATTTTATCAAGGAACAAATCGATGCAAATATTCAACGATTATCTAAATACTTTTTCTTAATGTAAATGATTTGAAAATTGTGTTTTAATCAATCTTAAATCAAATTTTTATCTGTTTTTAATGAAAATGCATGCCTAATTGTGAATTGCTTATCAAAGAATAGTCAATCTATGTATGTTTTTAAAGCATTTCCCGACAGCGACATTACATTAACATTAAAAAATTATGCTGAATAAATAATCTTTCACTGATAATCGAATGGATCAAAATAGCTTTCTTTTTGCAACTCTTTCTACAGCAATTAAAAACTCATTTTCGTAAAGAAATTGCATGTATATGAATTTTGAAGATGGCATCACGAATGCATGTACGTATTTCCCCTTATGGAAAATGTTCTTGATATATCAACGTTTGGTTGAATTACATATACTTTGAAGATGCTTTTCATCGTAAACGATAAAAGAATTACAGATTTGTTTTCTGACATTCCCCCCAAAGTAAAAAAAAATGCTTTTTTGTAATAAAATATATGTAGATAACCAACAGTATTAAAGCTCAGAAGTCCGTTAAACATTAGAAAATATGACCAGAGCAAACACGGACCTCTAAAAAATCAGAGGTGGTAACAGTTGCCATATAGGAGTGACCGCCCCTTGCTGATCGAACCACGCCCACCGATTGCTACTTGTCATGATTGAGATATAACTGAAAAATTCGTCGACAATTCAGTGTGAAAAAATGGCCTAACAATTAGTATGAAATACGTCAGACAGCATTTGACTCAATGATGTATTGGCTGACAAGGTCATGGTATCGACCACAGAACTTACAAAATGATGACTTTAAACAAGTTGTTTCATCAACTTGTTTGTCAATAATTTACCCCGTATTACAAATTGTACACACGTAGAGCATGCTCTTGCGGATCGAATCAGCTGAGAGATACACTGTAAACCCCGTATGCAGTTGATGAAGGTAGACTGCTACAAATGTAAGAGAAGTAATATATTCTGAAGCAATTGAAAAGAAGCCCTTCATTGCAAAATAACCTATTTCGGTTAAAAGAGGTACAAGTCTTACCTTACGTACACCCTTTATTTTTTTCTTGACAAAATGTCCGTTGATATTTTTACTATTTTCCCTTTTTTTTAAATATTGTTTGAAATATAGAAACAAAATAAACGAAAACAAAACCCAATTATACAGGAATACTTTCCTAAAAATAATTTTAAAAAATTCAAATTTGAATTATCTTTTCAGATATTTAAAAAATAAATTTTGATTTCTACTGTAAACGTATTTTATTTCTGTATTGACGGACATTTCCAGATTTTAGTATTTGGTGATATTTACTATTCATAGGCCACAGACCAGGCGATAAAGTTGACGTTATATGACTCAACAAAAGACAAATTACATTGTATAACGAATGAAATGTCATCGTAAATTCCCAGCATATTAGTTCTTAGATCCAACACAATTACACAAAAGTAACATTTAAAACAAAGGCAAGAAATTGTAGGGAGTTTTCTTCCTCATAGAGAAAAAAAGAAAGAAAACTCATTTATCATTTCTCCTCTTCATTAGAATTTATTTTAACTTAATATTTCATTCGGAGAGCGAAAAGAAATATCAACGAAGGACAATGAAGAAGAAAAATAAGGAATACTTAAAAGGGAAAAATAATAAAAAATCATGCAAAATCTAAAAGAAAAATCCAAAATAAATTTTATCAGCAACTAATGTGAATCAACAGATGATTATTTTTCAGTAAGAAACCACTTTAAATGACAAAACTTACATTTTTTTGCCAGACTGAACAATATACATCCTTTAAAACAAAGAAGTAAATTATTGAAGAAAAAAAAAACAAAGAAGTAAAAAAAAAAAATAAACACAGAAGTAAATTGAAAGAAAGGAAATATGTAATGAAAGATTTAACCCTTTTGATCCTTTTCTTTGTAATTCAAACATTTCGGACAATGATAATACACCTTCAGTGGGTATGAATGTTTATCTTTGATGGGCATAATTTACTACAATTTTGCAGCAAATCTTAAGTATAGTTTAGACGAATTTTTCAAAACAAAGGAAACTCCAAATGGCGTTGAAGGTAAGTGATATATTGAGTGCATTTTATCATCTTTTAAGTATGTCTTATTTATATTTCATTGAATTACGGAAATGTAGCCCGGCAGTGGAAGTTTAAAAGAAAAGAGGATGAAGATAAAAACAGTGATAGATCGAAAAAAAAACAAACCTACAAACAACACAAATCTGTGAACATGGTTTAAAATACGGATCCAAAAGTTTGTTCAGATACCTAGGAGGAGTATTACCCCATGTCGACAACACATTGATTAGGTAGATGGGAGATTCCGTAGTCAAATTTAGTAGAAAACATTGGGCTTACAATTGATATTAAATATGACAGTCAGAATATGTCTCAATGATAGGTTTATTCGCTCAGAATGTTATTATAACGATTCTAGTATTAATGACATATTGAATTAAGAGAAATTTTTGGTATTACCAACTCATCTGTCAGTAATCGGTTATACTTTTATAATACAGTTCAGATCATGCTATTCAGTATCGAATAAGTTATAACAAGGCCTATTTTTGTATTCATTATAAAAAAAACGTACAAAAAGAAGTCTTCTGCGGTGGCTCCCAATTCAAAATTTAGCTATATCAACAACGTTTTATCAATTTATCAATTTTCAATATATCTTTTCGTTCCACCATTAATTCGATATTTCCCTCAAACTTGACATAAAGATACTGCAGAGTTTTCCATAGCTGCTTCATTATTGAATATTTTACCAGAAAAAAGACATAAATGGTAACCTAACAACAAAACTTAATGATAAACATAAACTTTTATCGGTCAACTTGGGATGTTTACTCCTCCATGGTACCTGATCCCCTATAATGTTTTAAGAGGTCCATGTTTGCTCTGTTTTCGATTTGTGTGGACGTTTGAGTTTGAATACGGTTAGTTATTTCAATGAGAGTCATAAACAGAATGGATTATAACAGAATGTATTTACATTAATAAGAAAATTTAACAATGGTAGAGCCGAAGACTTACAATAGTTATTGGTCCTTGTTGTCTTCAGTCAGTAAAACACCAAATTATGAAACAGATGAGACAGACTCCGTGATGTCTTTTATTTTGAATTAATTGAGATATATCAAGTAGAAATATAAATGGATGTAATTATGATAAGTTAGTTAATCAAACATCGGTAATATAGCTGAATATCGACATGAGGACCACAGCTAGTGTTTACTTCTTAATAAAAAAGTCCCTCTAAGAGATTTCGAAAGAAATATGTATTTTATATATGAAAAATGCTTCCCTAAATAAGATAAATGTGCCGTATTTATATATGTCTATCCTGCTTCTAGTTCTCTTTAGTGAGGTTAATAATGAGGAAACAGCAACAAACAAACCCCTTGTTTTATGTCCGATATCTTAAACATATTTATTGAAAATAAAGCATATACTTCCTTGCAAGGAATGATGGTTTTCTTATGAGACAATGCTATCATTATCATAGTACCTGTATGTAACACCCGATACAGTTGAAACTTGTCATCTTTTCCTACACTCTTCAACATCGCCTGAAGAGATTAGAAAGCTCATTGGGAGACAATTCAGCGTGGAACCCACTTTACTTACCAAGCGCAGAGATCTTTGTATTGAGGTCCGACGAGGCTTTTCTAAGGACATCTAGTGCCGCTCTACAAAATACATGCACGTTTAGTACAACAACTTAGCTGTTCCCCAACACAATGTTTGTAAAAGAGTACAAAGTATTTTGATAAACTATCCACTGGTTGCCTTAGACACTACAATGACACCAATTTTATTGAGCAAAGCAGAGCGAAATGCTCCTCAGGATTGTCGTCGCTGAACCTAAGTGCCAGACAACTTACCAGCGAAGCAGTGCATGTCTCAGTATGGATCTAAAACGTTTTAAAACCTTATTTACTAAAAGAAGTCTTCACCTGTTATAATTTATTCTTCGGAAGTTCATTGACAAAAACTGTTCATTTTTTCCTGACAAATTTTATCCTTGTAAAGTGTAAAAATAAGATTTTTTGAGATCGATCATCGTTCGTTATCTTCGACCACTTTTCATTAGTGGTCAAAGGGGAAATTTGAGAATTGCCAATGTTGAGCAGATGTGTAATATCATTTATGTACGGTTAATTTATCAATTATTATCAATTAAATAAAACATCATATGTCTGGTGTTATGTAAATGAAAAATTAAACATGATAAGGGAAAGCCTACGTCTATTTATAGATTACTTTTAGTATTTATGAATTACTTCTAGTACTTTCCGTCCATTATGACAGGATGGTATCATCGTGATTTCATTCCCAAGATAAACAAGGTTAATGAACATATAGGGATTTTTAGAATAAGAACCCATAAAGATTTAGCCCCTTATTTGTTAATCAATAACATTAAACACCAGTAATCATATCATCTCATGTATTTATCTCATCCTCTTACAACATACAATTATACCTATCATTTTTTCAAGCAAATGTTTAGTCAAATTGCAATCAAAATCATCGCTTATTCACATTGAATGTTACACTTTAACCTCCATATTAGAAAATGTTGAATGACTCTGCTTAATTTCAATTGCATTCATTTTTATCTGACTTAAACATTATTTTAATACGCTGGTTTAAGTGTTAAGAACAATAATACAGAAATTATTCAACCGCAATGGATTTGTATGTCCGAATGTTGTTGAATTTACACTACAAAATAGAATGCTATTTCCTTTCCAATAGGTCCAGGTTAGTCATAGTTCTTTGGATGAGAAGTGTAATAGGAAATACTTGAAAGTAGAGCATCACTTAGGATTTACTGAATGAAACAATCATGGTTTAATTTTAAGGGCCACTTTTAGTACCCAGACATCCGTTGAAACACCGCCATGCATGCCTTTTTGCAAAACAATGGTGAATCTTTATGGTGATAGACTTTCCGTTTGTAGAAATCAAATGTAGAGGTCAATTGCGTTTCAGAATAAGCTGTAACATGTAAGTGGTGGGCATGAAGTAGATATTTTTGAGGAATAATAATTGAAAAAATGAAAAAATTTGAACTTGGTGAATTTGAAAATTAATAAATTGAATTTATTAAAACCTTCAACAGTTTCTAAGATAAAGACTTATTGAAAGTATTTAGATTAATGACAAAAATTGCATAGTAGATATCAGATCCAACATATTGTCGTCAATCTAATTTTTTTTGCCTAAGAAATGAGAAGATAAAAATGATTAGTTACCATTTGGCATAATAGTTTTGGGCATTTGAGTCCTTTACATTGCCCTCCATTCTACCGTGTGGGACCATTTCTGGAACAAAATAAAATGTGCAATTCTTATTCTTAGGAATAAGTTTCCTGCAAACATCATGCCCATGCTTTTGGCTTTCTATTGTACAGAGAGAAAGAGAGAGAGAGAGAGAATTTCTGAGCAAAATACAAGACTTGTTTTCTGACATTTGTTTACTAAATTAAGATCTGACGATTTCTCTTATTTCAATAACATTTTTGAAATGCTTTTCTGACCTACACATATGTTGAAGGCCATAAATAGAAGTTTTTTTTATATTCTTCTAATTTTAAACAACATGACTTCCGATCACACCGCTGTCGAAAGATTTAAATTTCGCTGAAATCATCAAATACTGACATATTATTCATATTTGATCTGAATTGTTTCAAATACGTTCAAAGGAACTGGCCAGAAGTTTTGAAAAAAGTTATAAACCTACGACACATTATTAAAACTTATATATTTTAGCAGAGTTCATTTACTTATTCAATTACTTTGTTGCTTTCGAGAATTTCTTTGATCTGCTACATGTAATTTTTTTTTTGAATTTTGGTCATCTAAAAAGAAAATATATTAAATGAAATATAAAAAGAAAAATGAAGATGAGTCTCATTTGTTCAGAGAAGGACATATTCAGATATTCTAGTATTGCTCATACTCTTACACGGTCAATACCTTAAAGTGACAAGATCTTAGGATCAAATTCAAGTACACATTTTTTTCTGACTGAAAACGTATTTCAGGATATCAATTTTCTTAAAAGAAAGTCTTCCCTGTTCCTTCAATACTGTTTTCAAAGTATCATTGCGCTTTCCTCGAAAAAAAAGGGGTAAATTACAGCAAACACCTTGATGAAACAAGAATATCAGCATTCTCGCTTAAAGTCATCAGTTCGTAAGTTCTATGGTCGATTTAATGTCCTTATCAGGAAAAAAAAACAATTAAATTTTTTTCATTGATTCAAATGCTTACTGACGTTTAACATACTTATTGTTAACTAATTATTAACACATTGAATTGACGACGGGTTTTCCCGTTATTTCCCGATCATGACAGGGAGAACACGGCAGATGTGACCGATCAGCAAGGGATGCTCACTCGTCCATGGCACCTGACCCAACGTCTGATGTTTTGGAGGTCCGTGTTTGCTCTGCTCCTATTTCGTACTGTTTTATGGACTTTGAGCTTGAATACTGTTTGTTATCTAAATATATTTCATGCAAAGCACTGTCTTCGTCAATTCTATATTTGTACTTGCATCATATTGGTGAGGCAAACCCATCGCAGAATAGGAATTGTAGAATTATCTACTGCAAAACCTAATGTCGTTTCCTCTACTGCAAAGCCTATCATCTTTTGTTTTCTAAATCTTTTTAAATAATGTTCATGATATTTCAATGTAAGTTTGAAAAAGTCACCCTATCATGATCCACTAATACTTATTTGTAAGCCTTGTTCAGCGTACTCCATCAATTTCATTTGTGTTAATTTCTCGTCGAATACCAGAAACAAAGACAAAGGTAAGGGTGTGTATATTCCACTTAAAGTCCATTTTAACTTGAAACTGATAATTGTGGTTCGTTGGATGATTAACTAAATAAGTGAATGAATCAGAAATTGAATATGTAAATTAAAGAGTGAAATAACAAACAAGTGCATGATACGTATAGGGCATAGTAAATGGCCACCAGTTAATTTATCAAAATATAGGAGATATGAAAGACAGTTATAGATACAAGCAAACAGCAACTTCATGTACTATACCTGTCACAAACAATTCCTTACATCAAAAGGAAATTTAGATACAACAAGCAAAGAGAACTATCAAAATATAAGTAAATCGACAAAGCACTAATATGACAAGGATATTATAGGTATAATCAATGAGGAATGGGTGGGGAAAAAATCAAAAATTTTCTTTAAAAATGAGTTTCCGATCCCCTTCTGCTGAGCTACAAGGCATATCACCAAAATTGGACATAAAAACACACGACGTAAAGAAAGTGTGAGCTCTCTATAAAGCAATAAATTGTAAATATCAAACATCTGATTAAGTAAAAACGTAGGCAGACATTTGGGTGTTTCTGTATTATGCGTTTACCTTTGACCCTCATATTTTTGGGTCCAGTATTGTGACATCATGGATTGTATTTATAATGCACTAACTACTGATCACATGCATACCTTAACCGGAAATTCAGAAAAAAACACGGAAAAGGTAGACTGTATTTCATACATCTTGTTTCCTTCTTACAGAAGCTTAGATGTCGATGAACTTTCTTTTTCATATCTTTGAGACTTGTCTTTGAGTAACACTCACATGAGAGCTCACCGTGTGGGAAATTTTGCATCCAAAGAATATATAATGACTATCTTAAAATGTTCTAATACCCAAATATTATAGCATTTTAAGTAATTTTACTTATGATTTCAGTTAAGTCGAAACATAATGGCGTGTGATGACAGTTATAATGACAATGTGAGTATATTTATATGCTAAATGTAGAAATATATCCAATATGCTCATTTCAGGAAATTGCCTAACATCGGCAACTGTCACAACTTCACGAATTGGTTTTGAATTTTAGTTTCATAATTTTTCAGAACATAGAAGTGTTTTCTAGCGAAATGATGAACGAAATCTTCAGAATTATTGAACCTCAATCTGGTGAGTACCTATCATTTTCATAACAACTCCTTTATAAACCACAGTATCCAGTTTTTCCAAATGTTAGTTTTTTTCTGCAAAAAAATTATTGTCCAGATTGTTATTCTATTTTTATTGAAAGACATATTTTCTACCCATGTGTTTTAAAAATTAAAAAAAATAGCAAGAGAAAACCAAACTATGCATAGACATTTTTGAAAATCAAATAACATTTTTAAAAATATATACCTAATTGATTCAAGTGATCGTTTTGCTAAGAGAACATATATACGACTTACCATAACCTACATTTACAAAAAGATTGTAACATATTTCCACAATAAACATCCGAGAGTCTGTTACAACCCGAAATGCGGCGTTTAAGTTTTGTAACTTGATTTGTTTTACTGTTGACTTCCTTAAGGATGTAACAATTAACAATCCGAGCAAACAATATTTTTAAAGAAATCTTCCTGTCATCCTTTTTCCTACTTTTATTATCCTTTTTGTTTTCAACTTACCCTTTCACTACTTCTCAGTTTTACTTCTCAGTATTGTAATTTTCGTAGAATGTAGAAATCCATGAAATCTTCGGAATTCACTTTTTGCAAAGAATGGCTGTAGAAAATATTGTTCTCTTTATAGATACACTAATCTCAGAGACCGGAGAATCATCGTCATTTGAACACTTACCGCCCAATGATGGAACAAACGGTAAGACATAGTGGAAATTAACTTCTGCCAAAATATGAATCTAACACCAATGTAATTAACTAAGATTATTAATAAAATTACACATGCTTTTTGCCATTGAAGTAGACGAGGAAAATGTCATAAAGATATTTTTTATTTAGCTTTTACTTAGTATTTATACATTGGAAATGTATTAAATCCTTAAAGAGGACATTTTTCTATACAGTACATTTCCGTGTGTTTTTGATTCAGTACATTGGAAAGGACCTAAAGTTTCCTCACTTGCGATTGAATCTGTAAAAATGATTTCTGAACAATGTAGATTATAAACTAGCAAGGAAATAAAACAATATCTTTATTGTAATTCACTCATTTTCCTTGTGCTTTTGTTCATGATAAGTCGGATAATAATGGTAAGTATGTAAAGTTTGTTAACCTACTGATAATATTAAGTATGGCAAATGAAAAAAAGTTAGGAATAAACGATAATTTGGATGCAAAATATTTCGTTTTCGAATGACAAAGCTTAGGGAATTAAGTTATATTTATTTACGACAATCCTTTGCCATTTTCATATCCAGGAGTACTAAACACCATATCTCAGGAAAAGCTAAAAATAATCTGATTTAAGGTTCACTTCCTAAACAGAAACATGATTTTGTTGTGAAAAATTGAATGTGTACTCTAACAATTTTTCCCCAAATTTTGATTTTAAAAAATCATCACCATCCTTATTGTGTTTTGTCGTTGGATTATTGACTTTTGTTTAAAATAAGCAGTAAATTTCATTTTTGGTTTTCATGCAATTTTGAAAGATCTTTTTTCTTAAATAGCTTCCTTTGATCCTAATCACCATCTTGCTCTTCCTGATGAAACATCCTACGAGCAAAGTCCAGAATCTGTCCACTATCAAAATTATTACCAACCATGTGACCCAAGTCTATGTTACGTCACTGATGACAACTGTAGTGTGACGTCAGGCTGTGCCGACATCAGACAACCTTACTATACGGGCTATCCCCAGCCCTGTACTACTACCCTCCCTGCGTTCCAGACCTCATTCCCTCCGTACTATGCACCCGTTGAGGTCAAAACAGAGGATGATTCCGAGTTTGTCGATCAGAGTTCCTTCATGTGTCGAAAAGGAAAAAGAGGTAGCTATTTTACTGAATAATTTTGCAATATCTACTTGTAAAAATAAGATGAATATCGAAATTTATTTTTAAAATTATTTGATCTACCTTAATGTTTTTAAAAAGGCACAAATCCCTCATGTTTTCAGAGAATTGAGTTTGTTATATTTCAATTAATGATAGAAATGCAAATAATAACTTTATTTTTACTATTAAAATATTTAAAAAGAAATAATGTATTTTGAAGGAGCCAAAAATGTTTTGCTATGGAAGTTTATTCTGGAACAGCTACGAAGTGGCACTGAGTCCATACGTTGGGTAAATCTGCTAACTGGAACCTTCCGATTTGTCGATACCACCGACATAAGTAGAAAGTGGGGAGAGAAGAAAAGAAAATCTGATATGAATTTCGAAAAATTAAGTCGAGGAATAAGGTAATCAATTATTGTAGCTCTTGGTACCAAAGCACTTGTTTAAATGTAGTTCACTTTTTTTCAAAATTGTACACCATAAATTTATTTATTTGAAGGACCTCTACGAGTATTTAAAATATTGCATTAAACTTTTATTTTAAATCTGTAGTGATGACGGTAAATGTGTTTTTATGGATTGTGTATTAATGTATCAACTTTCTTTACATTTTTAGACATTATTATAAATCCGGATTTATGAGTCGGGAGGACGGAACAAGATTAGTTTATCGGTTCCACTGGTCCAAAGTACCGCGGGCATGGCGACCACGGGAAGTACAATACGAATTTGACAGACGGTGTAGAAAACACTATCAAAATAGACTATGAACTTAAGACCACAAAACGCTTCACCAAGAACCTCAGAAAGGCTGGGAAAGATGCAATGATTCCTGTATATATTTTTGTATGTGTTCGTGACTTATTGTTCAATAGTGTTACGTTGTAACCAATCGTGCTTTATTTTGCCATATCAAGTGTTCATACAGCTGTTTGTTTGCGTTCGATTTCTCGAGGGCTTTTATTTAAAAATAAACACACATCCTTACAAAGAATTAAGTGTTTCTGAAGAACCTGACCCTCATTTCAAGTTAAAAATAAGTATTTTGTATGTATATATTGTATAATATTTATTTTCTTAAGTTATGCTAAGCTAAATATGTAAATGTTGCTTATTGAAGTAAAAACCTGTTGGCAGGTTTCTTAAACAATATTCTTGTCTTTTTTAAAATTACCAGTTTATCTATATAATAATATTGAAAGGGTTTTGATGATTATTGGTGGATTTCATGCAAAATTAAAGGTAAATCTCGGAAGGAAGAACATGGCAAAATATTAATTAAGCCATTTATTTATTATATAATCCAAACTTAAAAATAAATTGACTTGCTTCAAGTGATTTATAATCGATTTGTTTAGATGCTTTTAAGCTCAATAGATACATCTAATCTCCTAAAAGCAACGCCAATTGCATAAATATTAAATACTTAAATCATACTTTACTGAGCGGTACATGAAGAGGTGATTAAAGTCTATATTTGATAACCCCTTAAATTTATTATATCAAACTCTAAGCTATTCTTTATTTGTTTAAAACCCAGCTGACAGCTGACTGAAAGTTTTTTTTTAAATGTAAATTAAAAAAATTGAACGTAAATAAATTTTCCAAAAAAGTATATCTCTAAAAATCCCTTGTTTGAAGGGACGTAAAGACAGAGCAAAAATAGCTATTATAATAATACAGATGATTTTGCACAAAATCGCATAAAAGTAAAAAAAAAGATCCTATAAATAAAGAGGTTGGTTATTTCTGGGAACAGATTTAATAAAGTGAACAGTTTTGCTGGTTGTAAGTACATTTAGAGATAAACACGTTTCCTGAGATGCGTTTATCGGAAAAATCATCGCACAACACTTAAAAACACAGCTAAAGAGTAAATAATCAGTTTGACAAAGTTCAGAATTTTACTTTTAAAGTGTTAACACTTTTTAAATTATCCAATTTTTTCCCTATATTATCGCATTTTCTCCACAATAAGACTTAAAAATAATTAAAATAAAAAAGCATCAAATGTGCAAGTTTTAAAAAAGTGTATATTATAATATCAAGTATAAATTTAGGACTTTAGCCTGTACAGCCCACTTTCTGAAAGATATGCAAATAAGGTTCGGTTTTTAGAATTTTTTTGCAAAATATTCCACCTCACACAAATCTTGTGAGAAAATTCTTTCTAGGTCATTACTTGATTACAGTGTCTGACTTTTACAAATTAGAAAATAAGACGGACAAAGATTCTTTGTTTTTGATTCAGTTCATGAAAAGAGGCGTCTTTTTCAACCATTGTAAAGAATTTTACACATTTACGTTAATCTTTATTCTTACATAATGTATATTTGTTAAACCAAACTGCAAGGAAAATAGTTCTCTTGAAAAGGACACTACAGTAGTCTTTATATAAGAACAATGATATTGTATGATAAGCCTACAACTACTCCACCTGCTTTGAAAACAAATATTTTAAGTTTCTTTAGGAAGTGTAAAATAAAACCAGAAACAGGTATTGAAAGAACTAAAGGAATTATCCGTGTAATTGTATGTTGCACTATCTAAGGTCAATTGAATTTCATTCCTTAGAGTGAATAGACAACGTTATATTCAGTTATTTTCTCACACTCTGTATCTATCTCTTTTTTCTTCCCTTACCCATTACAAGATAATTGTTGGCGGTCTGTTAATTATTATCTTTCATATTCTTTCCTCCATTGTACCTGATCTCATCTCTGATGTTTTAGAGGTCTGTGTTTGTTCTGCTTCTAACTGTATTGCTTAACAGGACTTTAGGCTTGAATACTGTTTATTATCTCCATATGTATATAAAAGAAAAAAAAAAATTCGATATATTTTGAAGAATCATCAATTTTTTTTTAAATGAAACATTTCCGTGTCGGAAAAGGAGGCAGAAAAGTACTTATATGAATACTGAGATATTATTTAAGACATTTCGAATGCTTTTTTAATGAAAACTAAAAAAAGCGTTCTCTAGAATTTTCCGCATTCCTAGAAAATAAAAAAAATTTAAAATCATAATATGCAAAACCAAATCTACAAAATATATTCCTTGCCAAAATATTCAATGTATGAATATAGATCATCATTTGAATTTTTTTTTTTTAGCTATTTGTTTTAATAACGATGGATTTCTAAAATATAAGACCAAAAGAAACAAACTTGGACATACATCGTACATCTTCAAATTAAACTATCAAAATTTAATACAGTAATAAGAATCACTGGCAAATCTAGAATCTTAGGAGAAAATATGATTATAGTGTTATGAGTGTCCATTTTCACACAATTTTCACTTGACGAATGGAGGAAAATATCAAAGTTTTGTTTATAACATAGCATAAAAAAGACATGGATATAAAAACTAAACTCTAATTAGAAAAAAATTAAGAAAAATTCAAAAATTGAGGTGTAAGCTAAGCACCTAATATGATATAAAAAAAATTATGTGAGATATTCTTTTATAAATTCTTTTAAATAACTTGACAAGTATTTTTTCGTATGTGTGTCGTAATGTGTACATACATGTATATATAGTATTGAATGAAAAATTGAAAATACTTTGAAAGTGCCTTATATGTAGAATCACTGAATTTTTAATTTACAGGGTATTTCAAAAAAGAAGGATTACTTTGAAAAATCTTGATTATAATTATGAAAGGTGTTTTAAGTTAAACTTCACAGCAATTTTAATTTTCTAATGTTTTTGCACTGTGTTAATCCGTTGTATTTACTTTCCAGCAAGGCAAGTATTTATGCAATCATTTCAGTCTATACATGTATGTTTAGAATTTGCAAGTGCAAAAATACCAGGCAAAATATTATTAGAAAATATAACTGTCTATTGACTTTTGTTTTTGACATTAAATTAATTCTAAAATATTGTCCTTTTACTTTTTTGCTTGACTTGGTTTTAAAAGTTATTTTTCTCAAATTGCTAATTTTTAGTAATTTTTATTTACATATCTAGCTATCTTTTATCTTCTTAGAAGAAAGGTCTTATTTTAGAAATTAATTTCATGTGAAAAGTTTTTTTTTTAAATAATACTAAGTTTCTAAGGATACATTCTTGTTTCGCTTGTAAGGAAAAATATTTTTCGTTTTTAAAGAATAATTTACTAATGCTTTTTAAGCAATAAATACCTTTGAATATGAAGAAAACTTTAGTGAGCAAATATTTATTTGTGCACATTTTAGAAAATGATTGCTTTGTTAGGCTTGTAAAAATATATTTCACACTCGTGACTTTATCTTGTATCTACCAAGGAAACCGTTTTTCTCTAAAAAATTTAAACATCATTATCTATTTCTTTTCACGATCTTTGTACAAAGACCTATTGACAGTGAATACGTTTACAAATAATGATAAAATTAGGCATTCTTCTTTGGGAAGACGTAGTGTCGAATCTAATAAATCAATCTATTGAAAATAATTGAAACTTAGTTCGTATGACGGGCTGTATTGTACCCGGGTATAATATGGTTCGGGATGCATTGGGTAGTATATTATAGTTACAAATAGAAATGTACCCCTGATGTTTTGTAACACGATAACTCTACGGTAGCAGGAAGAGGGTCTACCGAGGAAATAAATAAACGTAAGGTGCAACTATTGGTTGATCATCAACCAATGCCTAATAATTTCCCAATAACCTTGACACTTTCAGTTAAGGTAAGATTTATTTTTATGCAAAGATGCCCGATAAACTTATTAAGCAAATAAATCATCCGTATAAAATATCAGTTATGATATAATATACAACCATATGCATATTAAATGCGTTTTCCCCGAGCATTTTAAATCTGATAAAGCAAATCTTAATTCAGATATTTTTAAGATCATTTTTAACAATGTTTTGGAAACCGTGTTTCCATGTAGAGTCCATTTGACAGTTATTCAGTGAACATTAAACTACAGAATTTTAAAGGGTAAACACAAACGTTGGGCTAAAAAAAAGAGAGAGAAAAAGTTAAGCCCAAGAAAGATTAGACTAAGACAAGGTTAAAAGACTTCTTGTTAGATAAAAGAATTCCTATAGTTATGATACCTAAATTCATATGGTCAAATACAAAACATAATTTGAAGTCTAACAGAAGATTATATATGGGCGCCCATGAAGATTTGAGGAGGGAAAAGCTTAATATGCATACTGCATATGATACTCAATTATAGCAATTTAAGGATAAAGTAGCAAGTATTGTTAAATCTTCGCCAGTCTTTTATTGCACTCCAGTGTCTCGGATCTGCTGGCGTTCCCGGATGTGTAAAGCTGGTAGAACATTAGTATTCAGACTCTTGCCGACGCGCATAAATTTCCATGATAATGAATATCAATAGATTTTCCAGTCAGTATCTACACTATATTTGATATGTTGTCATGGAAACTTTATACATATCTTGTTTTATGCATGTATATCATTGGCTGATTTTGATCATATGTAAATATTTGAATACACACTCAGGTGTCATGTCATTGTTATGATAAGTATATTTCTATGAGAAAGTAACCATTTTTAATTTCATTTTAACTTTATTTTTCAGAACTTTTATCTTTTAAATTGCATTTTAAATCAATTCAACCAGTCTGCTATCAAATAAGATTTCAGAGGTCTATAAATAGAATTACCTGGGATACCAGTGAGGATTAAATGTCAAAGCATGAAATTGACAAGTTCATTTTTTCCACAAACGTTTCCGAGATACTTTAGTTTAAATTGTCTTCTCAACGTTCGGAGTAGTGTCAGATAAGATCAGACAGGTGTTTACAATTACCTTTATTCCTATCTCCCTACACAATCACTGAAATACCGAGATATCAAAAACTTTTGATAACTTTAATAAATGTCACATGATCTTTCATCATTTTGCAAATACGTTATTATCAAAATATTAATCAGTGGCAAAAAGTTGGAGAAGAGACACGTGTCTTCACTATTGGAAGCCATGGGAACTGCTTATTGAACCAGAATCTG